CTGTGGGTCTCTGTGTGGTGAGTCTGTGGGTCTTTGTGTGGTGAGTTTGTGGGTCTCTGTGTGGTGAGTTTGTGGGTCTCTGTATGGTGAGTCTGTGGGTGTCTGTGTGGTGAGTCTGTGGGTCTCCGTGTGGTGAGTCTGTGGGTCTCTATGTGGTGAGTCTGTGGGTCTCTATGTGGTGAGTCTATGGGTCTCTGTGTGAGTCTGTGGGTCTCTGTGTGGTGAGTCTGTGGGTCTCTGTGTGGTGAGTCTGTGGGTCTCTGTGTCGTGAGTCTGTGGGTCTCTGTGTGGTGAGTCTGTGGGTCTCTGTGTGGTGAATCTGTGGGTCTCTGTGTGAGTCTGTGGGTCTCTATGTGGTGAGTCTGTGGGTCTCTATGAGTGAGTCTGTGGGTCTCTATGAGTGAGTCTGTGGGTCTCTGTGTGGTGAGTCTGTGGGTCTCTATGAGTGAGTCTGTGGGTCTCTATGAGTGAGTCTGTGGGTCTCTGTGTGAGTCTGTGGGTCTCTATGAGTGAGTCTGTGGGTCTCTGTGTGATTCTGTGGGTCTCTATGAGTGAGTCTATGGGTCTCTATGAATGAGTCTGTGGGTCTCTGTGTGGTGAGTCTGTGGGTCTCTGTGTGGTGAGTCTGTGGGTCTCTGTGTGGTGAGTCTGTGGGTCTCTGTGTGGTGAGTCTGTGGGTCTCTGTGTGAGTTTGTGGGTCTCTGTGTGGTGAGTCTGTGGGTGTTTGTGTGAGTCTGTGGGTCTCTGTATGGTGAGTCTGTGGGTTTCTGTGTGGTGAGTCTGTGGGTCTCTGTGTGGTGAGTCTGTGGGTCTCTGTGTGGTGAGTCTGTGGGTCTCTGTGTGGTGAGTCTGTGGGTCTCTGTGTGGTGAGTCTGTGGGTCTCTGTGTGGTGAGTGTGGGTCTCTGTGTAGTGGTGGTGAGTCTGTGGGTCTCTGTGTGGTGAGTCTGTGGGTCTCTGTGTAGTGGTGGTGAGTCTGTGGGTCTCTGTGTGGTGAGTCTGTGGATCTCTGTGTAGTGGTGGTGAGTCTGTGGGTCTCTGTGTGGTGAGTCTGTGGGTTCCTGTGTGGTGAGTCTGTGGGTCTCTGTGTGGTGAGTCTGTGGGTGTCTGTGTGGTGAATCTGTGGGTCTCTGTGTGGTGAGTCTATGGTTCTCTGTGTGATGAGTCTGTGGGTCTCTGTGTGAGTCTGTGGGTCTCTGTGTGAGTCTGTGGGTCTCTGTGTGGTGGGTCTGTGGGTCTCTGTGTGGTGAGTCTGTGGGTCTCTGTGTGGTGAGTCTGTGGGTCTCTGTGTGGTGAGTCTGTGGGTGTCTGTGTGGTGAGTCTGTGGGTCTCTGTGGTGAGTCTGTGGGTCTCTGTGTGGTGAGTCTGTGGGTCTCTGTGTGGTGAGTCTGTGGGTGTCTGTGTGGTGAGTCTGTGGGTCTCTGTGTGGTGAGTCTGTGGGTCTCTGTGTGGTGAGTCTGTGGGTCTCTGTGTGGTGAGTCTGTGGGTCTCTGTGTGAGTCTGTGGGTCTCTGTGTGGTGAGTCTGTGGGTCTCTGTGTGGTGAGTCTGTGGGTCTCTGTGTGGTGAGTCTGTGGGTCTCTGTGTGGTGAGTCTGTGGGTCTCTGTGTGGTGAGTCTGTGGGTCTCTGTGGTGAGTCTATGGGTGTCTGTGTGAGTCTATGGGTGTCTGTGTGGTGAGTCTATGGGTCTCTGTGTGGTGAGTCTGTGGGTCTCTGTGTGGTGAGTCTTTGGGTCTCTGTGTGAGTCTGTGGGTCTCTGTGTGAGTCTGTGGGTCTCTGTGTGGTGAGTCTGTGGGTCTCTGTGTGGTGAGTCTGTGGGTGTCTGTGTGGTGAGTCTATGGGTCTCTGTGTGGTGAGTCTGTGGGTCTCTGTGTGAGTCTGTGGGTCTCTGTGTGAGTCTGTGGGTGTCTCTGTGTGAGTCTATGGGTATCTGTGTGAGTCTGTGGGTCTCTGTGTGGTGAGTCTGTGGGTCTCTGTGTGGTGAGTCTGTGGGTCTCTGTGTGGTGAGTCTGTGGGTCTCTGTGTGGTGAGTCTGTAGGTCTCTGTGTGGTGAGTCTGTGGGTCTTTGTGTGGTGAGTCTGTGGGTCTCTGTGTGGTGAGTCTGTGGGTCTCTGTATGGTGAGTCTGTGGGTGTCTGTGTGGTGAGTCTGTGGGTCTCTGTGTGGTGAGTCTGTGGGTCTCTATGTGGTGAGTCTGTGGGTCTCTATGTGGTGAGTCTATGGGTCTCTGTGTGAGTCTGTGGGTCTCTGTGTGGTGAGTCTGTGGGTCTCTGTGTGGTGAGTCTGTGGGTCTCTGTGTGGTGAGTCTGTGGGTCTCTGTGTGGTGAGTCTGTGGGTCTCTGTGTGGTGAGTCTGTAGGTCTCTGTGTGGTGAGTCTGTGGGTCTCTGTGTGGTGAATCTGTGGGTCTCTGTGTGAGTCTGTGGGTCTCTATGTGGTGAGTCTGTGGGTCTCTATGAGTGAGTCTGTGGGTCTCTATGAGTGAGTCTGTGGGTCTCTGTGTGGTGAGTCTATGGGTCTCTATGTGGTGAGTCTGTGGGTCTCTGTATAGTGAGTCTATGAGTCTCTGTGTAGTGAGTCTGTGGGTCTCTATGATGAGTCTATGGGTCTTTGTGTGGTGAGTCTTTGGGTTTCTGTGTGGTGAGTCTGTGGGTCTCTATGAGTGAGTCTGTGGGTCTCTGTGTGGTGAGTCTGTGGGTCTCTGTGTGATGAGTCTGTGGGTCTCTGTGTGGTGAGTCTGTGGGTCTCTGTGTGGTGAGTCTGTGGGTCTCTGTGTGGTGAGTCTGTGGGTCTCTGTGTGATGAGTCTGTGAGTCTCTGTGTGGTGAGTCTGTGGGTCTCTGTGTGGTGAGTCTGTGGGTCTCTATGAGTGAGTCTATGGGTCTCTGTGTGTGGTGAGTCTATGGGTCTCTATGAGTGAGTCTGTGGGTCTCTGTGTGGTGAGTCTGTGGGTCTCTATGAGTGAGTCTGTGGGTCTCTGTGTGTGGTGAGTCTGTGGGTCTCTATGTGAGTCTGTGGGTCTCTATGAGTGAGTCTGTGGGTCTCTATGAGTGAGTCTATGGGTCTCTATGAGTGAGTCTGTGGGTCTCTATGAGTGAGTCTATGAGTCTCTGTGTGAGTCTGTGGGTCTCTGTGTGGTGAGTCTGTGGGTCTCTATGAGTGAGTCTGTGGGTCTCTATGAGTGAGTCTGTGGGTCTCTGTGTGGTGAGTCTGTGGGTCTCTGTGTGGTGAGTCTGTGGGTCTCTGTGTGGTGAGTCTGTGGGTCTCTGTGTGGTGAGTCTGTGGGTCTCTATGAGTGAGTCTATGAGTCTCTGTGTGAGTCTGTGGGTCTCTGTGTGGTGAGTCTGTGGGTCTCTATGAGTGAGTCTGTGGGTCTCTATGAGTGAGTCTGTGGGTCTCTGTGTGGTGAGTCTGTGGGTCTCTGTGTGGTGAGTCTGTGGGTCTCTGTGTGGTGAGTCTGTGGGTCTCTATGAGTGAGTCTGTGGGTCTTTGTGTGAGTCTTTGGGTTTCTGCCCTCACCTCAACTCCAAGAAAGTTTACATAGGGCCCATTTTGACCCTAAAAGGAAAATACAAAAAGCATCATCATCATCAGTAGTATCATCATCAGTAGTATAATCATCAGTAGTAGTATCATCATCATCATCAGTAGTAGTATCATCATCATCATCAGTAGTAGTATCATCATCAGTAGTAGTAGTATCATCATCATCAATAGTATCATCATCATCAATAGTATCATCATCAATAGTATCATCATCAGTAGTATCATCATCAATAGTATCATCATCATGAAAAGTATCATTATCAATAGTATCATCATCAGTAGTATCATCATCAATAGTATCATCATCAGTAGTAATAGTATCATTATCAATAGTATCATCATCAGTAGTAGTATCATCATCAATAGTATCATCATCAGTAGTATCATCATCATCAGTAGTATAATCATCATTAGTAGTAGTATCATCATTATCATCATCACCAGTAGTATCATCATCAGTAGTAGTATCAAGATCAGTAGTAGTATCATCAGTAGCAGTATCATCAGTAGCAGTATCATCATCAGTAGTAGAATCATCATCAGTAGTAGTATCATCATCAGTAGTAGTAGTATCATCATCATCATCATCAGTAGTAGTATCATCATCAGTAGTAGTATCATCATCCTCAGTAGTAGTAGTATCATCATCAGTAGTAGTATCATCATCATCAGTAGTAGTAGTATCATAATCATCATCATCAGTAGTAGTATCATCATCATCAATAGTATCATCAATAGTATCATCATCAGTAGTATCATCATCATCATCATCAGTAGTAGTATCTTCATCATCATCAGTAGTAGTATCATCATCATCAGTAGTATCATCATCATCATCAGTAGTAGTATCATCATCATCATCAGTAGTATCATCATCATCATCAGTAGTAGTATCATCATCATCAGTAGTAGTGTCATCATCATCAGTAGCAGTATCATCATCATCATCATCAGTAGTAGTATCATCATCATCATCAGTAGTAGTATCATCATCAGTAGTAGTATCATCATCATCAGTAGTATCATCATAATCATCAGTAGTAGTATCATCAACATCAGTAGTAGTATCATCATCATCATCAGTAGTATCATCATCAGTAGTAGTATCATCATCATCAGTATTAGTATCATCATCATCATCAGTAGTAGTATCATCATCATCAGTAGTAGTATCATCATCATCAGTAGTAGTATCATCATCATCAGTAGTATCATCATCATCATCAGTAGCAGTATCATCAACATCACCACCATCATCATCAGTAGTAGTATCATCATCATCAGTAGTATCATCATCATCAGTAGTATCATCATCATCATCATCAGTAGTAGTATCATCATCATCATCAGTAGTATCATCATCATCATCAGTAGTATCATCATCATCATCAGTAGTAGTATCATCATCATCAGTAGTATCATCATCATCAGTAGTAGTATCACCACCATCACCATCACCACCATCACCACCATCACCTTCCTCCTCCGCCACGTGACCAGGTAGGTGAAGCTGCACGTGACCAGGAACAGAGTGGTCAAGCAAACGAGGATCAGGAGCACGTGGACAAAGATGGTCATCTGTGACGTCACAATGGGGGGAGGGGGTCACGTGGGGTGAGGCGGGCGAGAAGAGAGGGGTGGGTGAGTGAGTGAATGGGTGAGTTATTGAGTGGGTGAGTGGGTGGGTGAGTGTGTGGGTGAGTGAGTGGGTGAGTGAGTGAATGGGTGAGTTATTGAGTGGGTGAGTGGGTGGGTGAGTGAGTGGGTGGGTGAGTGAGTGGGTGAGTGAGTGCGTAAGTGGGTGGGTGGGTGAGTGAGTGGGTGAGTGGGTGAGTGGGTGAGTGGGTGAGTGAGTGGGTGAGTGAGTGGGTGAGTGAGTGAGTGGGTAAGTGAGTGGGTGAGTGAGTGAGTGGGTGGGTGAGTGGGTGAGCGAGTGGGTGAGTGAGTGGGTGAGTGAGTGGGTGAGTGAGTGTGTGAGTGAGTGGGTGAGTGGGGGGGGGGGTGAGTGAGTGGGTTGGTGAGTGAGTGAGTGGGTGAGTTGGTGGGTGAGAGGGTGAGTGTCTGACTGATTGAGTGACTGAGTGAGTGCCTGAGTTAGTGACTTAGTGACTGACTGACTGACTGAGTGAGTTCCTGACTAAGTGACTGACTGAGTGAGTGAGTGGCTGACCGAGTGCCTGACTGAGTGAGTGACGGAGTGAGTGACTGAGTGTCTGACCAACTGAGTGGCTGACTGAATCCCCGACTGACTGAGTGACAGAGTGACTGAGTGACTGACTGAGTGACTGACTGAGTGACTGAGTGAGTGAGTGCCTGAGTGACCGACTGAGTGACTGACTGAGTGGCTGACTGAGTTACTGACTGAGTGACTGAGTGAGTGACTGAGTAAATGACTGACTGAGTGACTGACTGATTGACTGAGTGACTGCGTGAGTGACTGACTGAGTGACTGAGTGAGTGACTGACTGAGTGACTGACTGAGTGACTGAGTGAGTTGGTGACTGAGTGAGTGACTGAGTGACTGACTGAGTGACTGACTGAGTTAGTGACTGACTGGGTGAGTGGACTGACTGAGTGACTGACTGAGTGACTGATTGACTGACTGAGTGACTGACTGAGTGACTGACTGAGTGACTGAATGACTGAGTGACTGACTGAGTGACTGAGTGAGTTAGTGACTGACTGAGTGACTGACTGTGTGACTGACTGAGTGACTGACTGACTGAGTGACTGAGTGGTTGACTGACTGAGTGACTGAGTGATTGACTAAGTGACTGACTGAGCGACTGACTGAGTGACTGAGTGGGTGACTGACTGAGTGAATGACTGAGTGACTGACTGACTGAGTGACTGACTGAGTGAGTGAGTGAGTGACTGAGTGAGTGGACTGACTGAGTGACTGAGTGAGTGACTGACTGAGTGACTGAGTGAGTGACTGACTGAGTGACTGACTGAGTGACTGAGTGGGTGACTGACTGAGTGACTGACTGAGTGGCTGATTGAGTGACTGAGTGAGTGAGTGACTGACTGAGTGACTGACTGTGTGACTGACAGAGTGACTGACTGACTGAGTGACTGAGTGGGTGACTGAGTGAGTGGACTGACTGAGTGACTGACTGAGTGAGTTAGTGACTGAGTGGGTGACTTACTGAGTGACTGAGTGACTGAGTGAGTGACTGACTGAGTGACTGACTGAGTGAGTGAGTGACTGAATGACTGAGTGACTGACTGAGTGAGTTAGTGACTGACTGAGTGACTGACTGTGTGACTGACTGAGTGACTGACTGACTGAGTGACTGAGTGGGTGACTAACTGAGTGACTGAGTGACTGAGTGATTGACTAAGTGACTGACTGACTGAGCGACTGACTGAGTGACTGACTGAGTGAGTTAGTGACTGAGTGGGTGACTTACTGAGTGACTGAGTGACTGAGTGAGTGACTGACTGAGTGACTGACTGAGTGAGTGAGTGACTGAATGACTGAGTGACTGACTGAGTGAGTTAGTGACTGACTGAGTGACTGACTGTGTGACTGACTGAGTGACTGACTGACTGAGTGACTGAGTGGGTGACTAACTGAGTGACTGAGTGACTGAGTGATTGACTAAGTGAATGACTGAGTGACTGACTGACTGAGTGACTGACTGAGTGAGTGAGTGAGTGACTGAGTGAGTGGAATGACTGAGTGACTGAGTGAGTGACTGACTGAGTGACTGAGTGAGTGACTGACTGAGTGACTGACTGACTGAGTGACTGAGTGACTGAGTGAGTGACTGACTGTCAGAGTGACTGAGTGGGTGACTGACTGAGTGACTGACTGAGTGGCCGATTGAGTGACTGAGTGAGTGAGTGACTGACTGAGTGACTGACTGTGACTGACAGAGTGACTGACTGACTGAGTGACTGAATGGGTGACTGAGTGAGTGGACTGACTGAGTGACTGACTGAGTGAGTTAGTGACTGAGTGGGTGACTGAGTGACTGAGTGAGTGACTGACTGAGTGACTGACTGAGTGAGTGAGTGACTGAATGAGTGACTGACTAAGTGACTGACTGAGTGACTGAGTGAGTGACTGACTGAGTGACTGACTGAGTGAGTGACTGACTGAGTGACTGACTGACTGAATGACTGATTGAGTGAATTAGTGACTAAGTGAGTGACTGACTGAGTGACTGACTGAGTGTCTGAGTGACTGACTGAGTGACTCACTGAGTGACTAACTGATTGAGTGAGTTAGTGACTGAGTGGTTGACTGACTGAGTGACTGACTGAGTTACTGACTGAGTAACTGAGTGACTGAGTGGGTGACTGACTGAGTGATTGACTGACTGAGTGACTGACTGAGTGAGTTAGTGACTGAGTGGGTGACTGAGTGAGTGACTGACTGAGTGACTGACTGAGTGACTGAGTGAGTGACTGACTGACTGACAGAGTGACTGACTAAGTGACTGAGTGACTGACTGACTGAGTGGGTGACTGACTGATTGACTGACTGAGTAACTGACTGAGTGACTGAGTGAGTGACTGAGTGAGTTAGTGACTGAGTGGGTGACTGACTGAGTGACTGACTGACTGAGTGACTGACTGAGTGAGTGACTGACGACTGAGTGACTAACTGAGTGACTGACAGTGAGTGACTGAGTGACTGACTGAGTGACTCACTAAGTGACTGACTGAGTGAGTGACTGACTAAGTGACTGACTGGGTGACTGAGTGAGTGACTGACTGAGTGACTGACTGAATGAGTGAGTGACTGAGTGACTGACTGACTGAGTGAGTGACTGACTAAGTGACTGACTGAGTGAGTGACTGAGTGAGTGACTGACTGAGTGAGTGACTGACTGACTGAGCGACTGACTGAATGACTGATTGAGTTAGTGACTAAGTGAGTGACTTACTGAGTGACTGACTGAGTGAGTGACTGACTGAGTGACTGACTGAGTGGGTGACTGACTGAGTGAGTGACTGAGTGACTGACTGAGTGACTGACTGAGTGACTGACTGAGTGACTGAGTGATTGACTGAGTGAGTTAGTGACTGAGTGGTTAACTGAGTGAGTGACTGACTGAGTGACTGACTGAGTGACTGAGTGACTGAGTGGGTGACTGACTAAGTGGGTGACTGATTGACTGACAGAGTGACTGAGTGACTGACTGACTGAGTGACTGAGTGAGTGACTGACTAAGTGACTGAGTGACTGACTAAGTGAGTGACTGAGTGAATGACAGAGTGACTGACTGAGTGACTGAGTAACTGACAGAGTGACTGAGTGACTGACTGACTGACTGAGTGACTGACTGAGTGACTGAGTAACTGAGTAACTGACTGAGTGACTGAGTGACTGACTGACTGACTGAGTGACTGAGTGACTGAGTGACTGACTGACTGAGTGACTGACTGACCGAGTGACTGACTGAGTGACTGAGTGGGTGACTGACTGAGTGACTGACTGAGTGACTGACTGACTGAGTGACTGAGTGAGTGACTGACTAAGTGACTGAGTGACTGACTAAGTGAGTGACTGACAGAGTGACTGACTGAGTGACTGAGTAACTGACTGAGTGACTGACTGACTGATTGACTGAGTGACTGAGTGAGTTAGTGACTGAGTGGGTGACTGAGTGAGTGACTGACTGAGTGACTGACTGAGTGACTGAGTGACTGAGTGGGTGACTGACTAAGTGGGTGACTGACTGACTGACTGAGTGACTGACTGAGTGACTGACTGAGTTAGTGACTGACTGGGTGAGTGGACTGACTGAGTGACTGACTGAGTGACTGATTGACTGACTGAGTGACTGACTGAGTGACTGACTGAGTGACTGAATGACTGAGTGACTGAGTGAGTGACTGTCTAAGTGACTGATTGACTGACTAAGTGACTGACTGAGTGACTGACTGAGTGACTGTCTAAGTGAATGAGTGACTGACTAAGTGACTGACTGAGTGACTGAGTGACTGACTGAGTGACTGAGTGACTGACTGACTGAGTGACTGAGTGACTGAGTAACTGACTGAGTGACTGAGTGACTGACTGAGTGACTGAGTGTCTGACTGAGTGACTGAGTGACTGAATGAGTGACTGAGTGACTGACTGACTGACTGAGTGACTGACTGAGTGACTGAGTGACTGAATGAGTGACTGAGTGACTGAATGAGTGACTGAGTGACTGACTGACTGAGTGACTGACTGACTGACTGAGTGACTGACTGACTGAGTGACTGACTGAGTGACTGACTGAGTGACTGACTGACTGAGTGACTGAGTAACTGACTGAGTGACTGAGTGACTGACTGAGTGACTGAGTGACTGACTTAATGAGTGACTGCCTGACTGACTGACTGAGTGACTGACTGACTGAGTGACTAAGTGACTGACTGAGTAACTGAGTGACTGAGTGACTGACTGACTGAGTGACTGACTGAGTGACTGAGTGACTGAGTGACTGACTGAGTGACTGACTGACTCACTGACTGACTGAGTGACTGACTGACTGAGTGAGTGACTGAGTGAGTGACTGACTGAGTGACTGACTGACTGAGTGACTGACTGAGTGACTGACTGACTGAGTGACTGACTGAGTGACTGACTGACTGACTCACGTATGGTACGAGACACCCACAGCAGCCACCACCAACAACAATGCCACCCTCCAATCCTGTCGCATTCAGCCTCGTGGCTCCGCCCTTAGTGACGTTGTAGGCTCCGCCCTTCATGACGTTGTAGGCTCCGCCCTTCGTGACGTCGTAGGCTACGCCCTTCATGACGTCGTAGGCTCCGCCCTTAGTGACGTTGTAGGCTCCGCCCTTCGTGACTTTGTAGGCTCCGCCCTTCATGATGTCGAAGGCTCCGCCCTTCGTGACGTCGTAGGCTCCGCCCTTAGTGACGTTGTAGGCTCCGCCCTTCGTGACTTTGTAGGCTCCGCCCTTCATGATGTCGAAGGCTCCGCCCTTTGTGACGTCGTAGGCTCCGCCCTTACTGACGTTGTAGGCTCCGCCCTTCGTGACGTCGTAGGCACCGCCCTTCGTGACGTCGTAGGCTCCGCCCTTCGCGACGTCACGCGGAGGGGGAGGGGCCGTGCCGTTGCCCCGCCCAGCCCCCTGGCCCTTGACTTCTTGACCTCCCTGCCTCCTCGATTGAGCTATGACGTCACTTGTGCGGCTCGTGGTGTTGTTTCGCCGCTGGCCTATGACGTTGTCGACAGAGACACGGATCCCCCCCCGGGTTTTGACTTGAGTTGTGACGTCACCCACAGGGTCACCGACTCCTTGAGCTATGGCGTCATCAACAGAGCCAGTGATTCCCTGAGCAATGACGTCATCCACAGGGCCACCGACTCCTTGAGCTATGGCGTCATCGACAGAGCCAGCGACTCTGTGGCCCTTATATTGAGCTATGACGTCATCCACAGAGCCACCGACCTCCTGGGCTATGACGTCATCCTCAGAGCCACCCACTCCGTGCCTCTTGACTTGAGCTATGACGTCATCCACAGAGTCACTGACCCCCTCAGCTATGACGTCATCCACAGAGCCACCCACGCCATGGCTCTTTTCTTCAGCTATGACGTCATCCACAGAGCCACCGACCTCCTGGGCTATGACGTCATCCTCAGAGCCACCCACTCCGTGGCTCTTTTCTTCAGCTATGACGTCATCGACAGAGCCACCGACTCCCTGAGCTATGACGTCATTCTCAGAGCCACCCACTATGTGGCTCTTGACTTGAGCTATGACGTCATCGACAGAGCCACCGTCCCCTTGAGCTATGACGTCATCCACAGAGCCGCCGACCTGGGCTATGACGTCATCCTTAGAGCCACCCACTCCGTGGCTCTTTTCTTCAGCTATGACGTCATCGACAGAGCCACTGACCCCCTGGGCTATGACGTCATCCTCAGAGCCACCCACTCCGTGGCTCTTGACTTGAGCTATGACGTCATCGACAGAGTCACCGGCCCCCTGAGCTATGACGTCATCCACAGAGCCATCGACCTCCTGGGCTATGACGTCATCCTCAGAACCACCTACTTCGTGGCTCTTGACTTGAACTATGACGTCATCCACAGAGCCACTGACCCCCTCAGCTATCACGTCATCCACAGAGCCACCCACTCCATGGCTCTTTTCTTCAGCTATGACGTCATCCACAGAGCCACCGACCTCCTGGGCTATGACGTCATCCTCAGAGCCAACCACTCCGTGGCTCTTGACTTGAGCTATGATGTCATCCACAGAGCCAGCGACTCCCTGCATCCTCGATTGAGCTATGACGTCATGAGCCGAGCTGGCCGCGCTCTGAGCCGTGACGTCACTGCCGTGGCTCGTGGCGTTCAGTCGGAGCTGGCCAATGACGTCAGAAGCGGAAGCGTAGCCAGAG